TACTATTCAAAACACTGTTAAGTGTGATAGAAACTTATGTCCGTGCATTTGTTTGTACTTGGGATCCAGCTAATTATCAACCTGACATCAGTATTTACTTGGGCTTTCTTTCTGAGTGCAGAATGTGCTCTAACACACCAGCTTTGCTGTTTTGTTCTTTTCGCCCTGAGGCCAAGCATCCTGCAAAGTCACATAGGAGGCAGGTCTTCTGCAGAGCCCAGCTAATGAAACCAGGAGCTGTCCCCTGAGAGGATTGCCCCAGAAGATAAAAAGCACGCTGGAAAAGGTGGCTCAGGCAGGCATGCTCAGGTGATGCACCTTGCTTCACTTCCACCTCAGAGAACACCAGGTACCAAGGAGAATGCGCGAGGGAGAATCCAGCCATGGGCCCTGGGCTCCCAAATCTCCTGCAGGCTCTTCTTCCCCTTCCTTCGGTGCAGCGTTAAGGGAAGGGATGCGCTGAGCTGGAGGGTCACAGTATCTACACTTCTCACAGTATAGCACCTTTGGCCTCCCATGGAAAAAAATTTTAATCACATTGGTTGAGAATAAAGAATTTTCACTTTTTTTTTTTTTTTGAAGGTTGACAGACCCTTTCGAAATGGAATCTCCTACCCCAGGCTGTCTTTGTGAATCACACCACGCAGTATTGTGTATAGGTTTGTTCAGGGGTTGAGCCTCGAGTAGTGATACAGGAAAAATCAGTGAGATGACAGTAAATGTGACAGCTACTCATCTCTGTCAGCCATCTCGTCACCAGAGAACACAGCCCACTTGTTCAGATATGTGGCACCTCGAGTTTTTCCCATGTAACAAATTATCTCAGAAGGATATCAAGGCTCCATTGCTTTTCATTTAAAAGTCATAAGTGAAGGCCTCAAAGAAATGTCAGAGACAGTGTATGAAAATTCATACATCTCCTAGCAGTTTTTGGGCCTTCACGGCAGTGATAATAATCACTTTGTTCTCGGGTTTGGAGCCGTGGGAAGAATCAAACCATTGTGTAGATTACTTAAAATTCCACTGTGCCTGCACTGTTTGCCCAAGAATGTTAAGAATTTGCAGCTGTCGCTCCCACGAAAGGTTTCTAACTGGGGCAGTGGCTGCTGTTTCACACACAGCTGCGGTTAATTTGAGCTGAAGATTTTTAATTGCCTTTGTGTCAAGATTTATTAAATAACATTTTAGAGGAGCAAAAACTGTAATAGTCATATTAGTAGGTTGCTGAAGGAAGAAAATAATTGGAATGCAGCATTTTTGCCCTGTAAGCCAAGTCTGAAAATATCTTTCCCATGTGACTGGCTTCCAGCCATCCCAGCAAAAGAGTTTCTAGGTAAATCCGGCCACAGAAGCCCTCGTGGCCGCTGCAGGAGCCTAGCCCTTTGTTCCCCTTACTCCTTTATCTGGGAGCACTTCTCCCCTGAGTGGCCTTCCCTTGTTTCCACTCTCCATTTCCATTATCTCAGGAGACAGGAGTCATAGTGCTTGGAGCAAACGTAGCATCAGATGGCAATCCGCCGCTGCTGCTAAATGGTCTGCATTGTTTTTGCAAGCCTTTGTAATTGCTGTTTTCCTACTACATCTAGGCCATCCATGACAATACTGTGAGGGGTCTGAACCCTCCCCATTTGGCTGAGAGCAGCTGTACGGATGAGCAGAGGTCAGAAAACGTGGACCTTTCCTGGATTTCCCGCCAAGTCAAAGGAGAGGGAGTGAGAGGCCCTTCCACTGATGAGGGACCACAACTAATGCCCCTCAAGAGGGGTCTTGCCAATTGTTCTGAGAAAGGAGTTTTGAATATGAAGAGAGGCCAGCCAGGAAAATTGCCAAACAAGTCGTAAATCCGCATTGCTATGCTAAAAACCTCAACTGTGTTTTACATTTCAGTTCAATATTTCCTTTTAACAGGGAATCCTCCAGGCATTAAGAAGCACCGGCAGTGTACCGGCAGGTGCTGTGCTATAGGCACTGTGGGGCAGAAAGTCGAGTGGGAGACCTAGACCAAGCATAAGACAGGCCAAGGGCACCCAAGCCCTGGTTACATCACTCACCCCAAGGGAGGTGAGGGGGATAAGCTTATGCCAGAAGGGGACAGCACTGGGTCCAGGCCTAAGGGATAAAGAGGACCTTGATAGTTAGAGGGGGAAGCAAAAGCCTTCCAGGCTGAGGACCCGAGAATAGGAAAAGCACATTGGAAAAGCATATCTTGATGTCTATGGTTCCATTTATATAATTTTCTCAGAATGACATAGTTATAGACAGATTTAGTGGTTGCCAGAGGTTAAGGATGGAGGGGTTGTGTGTAGGAGAGAAGTGGGTGTGGCTATAAAAGGAAAACATGAGGGATTCTTGTGGTGATGGAAATGTTCTATATCTTCATTGCATCAATGCTAATATTCTGGTTGTGATATTGTGCTGTAGTTTTTCAAGATGTCACCACAGGGAAAATTGGTAAAGTATAAATGGGATATCTCTATATTATTCTTACGAATGTGAATCTGCAATTATCTCAAAGTAAATTTTTTTTTAAAAAAGTATGTCTTGAGGGCTTCCCTGGTGGCGCAGTGGCTGAGAGTCCACCTGCCAATGCAGGGGATGCGGGTTTGTGCCCGCCCCCCCCTGCCAATGCAGGGGATGCGGGTTTGTGCCCCGGTCCAGGAAGATCCCACATGCCGCAGAGCGGCTGGTCCCGTGAGCCATGGCTGCTGAGCCTGGGCGGGCGTCCGGAGCCTGTGCTCTGCAATGGGAGAGACCACGGCAGTGAGAGGACCGCGTACCGCAAAAAAAAAAAAAAAAAATTATGTCTTGAGGAAGGGACAGTCTACAGTTGGACATGACAATGTTGGGTGAGGATAAATAAGAAATGAAGAAAAATGTTGGAGAGGTTGGATGGAAGTAGATTCTAGAAGCTAGAAATGCCACTCTAAGGAGTTGGGATTTCATTCTGTGAGGAATGGCAAGCCACTGAATGCTCTGAGCTGGGCGGTGACATGCTTTTCAGGTAAATCATCCTGCTAGCAGGTCTGCTGTACCTCAAAGCCTCACCCATTGCCCAACGCAGAGGCAGGATGGCTGCTGTACACCGAGAGCATGAGGACCTGAACCATGGAGGTGAATCTGGGCGCAGCAGCCACGAGAGGTGGGAACACCTCTGAGAGCCAGAGTCCAGGCTTCGAATCCTAGACTGCTACTTACTTGCTCTTGCCACCTAAGGCAGCTAACTTCTCAGTGCCTCTGCTTCCCCATCTGTAAAATGGGAATAATACCAGTGTCTGCCTGTCTTAAGATCATTTAAAATTAATATACACAAAATGCTTAGAGCAGTGACCAGTACAGTAAGCACTTGGCGAAGGTTAGCTATTATTATTTTCAAGAAGTAAAAGCTTACAACTTAGCAACTAGTTGAACTTAGGGAGGGGCAAGGAAAGAGTCAAGATGTAATGTTCATCAAAGGACTATGGGAGGGCTTCCCTGGTGGTGCAGTGGTTGAGAGTCCACCTGCTGATGCAGGGGACACGGGTTCATGCCCCGGTCCGGGAAGATCCCACCTGCCGCGGAGCGGCTGGGCCCGTGAGCCATGGCCGCTGGGCCTGCGCGTCCGGAGCCTGTGCTCCGCAAGGGGAGAGGCCACAGCGGTGAGAGGCCCGCGTACCGCAAAAAAAAAAGACTATGGGAGATCATCAGTAATAATAGCTAGAAAACAACAGAAAAATTCATATTGAGGGACATTCTATAAAAATAACTATTTATAATCTTCAAAAGTGTCAGGGAAACACGGAGGAACTGTTCCTTTGGGAAGAAGGCCAAAAGGACATGACAACCAAAGGCAGCACATGATTCTGAACTTGATCCATGGGCTTCAGAGGACATTATTGAGATGATTGGGACAATCCCACTGAAATGTGAATGGGGTCTGAAGATGTACTTATTTAGGAGGATGTGTTTGGTTCCTTGTCCGGAGGAAATGACATTAAAGTGTTCTGTAGCCATGAGGCATCAGGTTGGCCTCTGATTCTTAAATGTTTCAGAAAGTTCTTTGTATTCATAACTCTTCTGTAGGTCTGTGTTTGAAAATGAAAACAATTTTTTTATTGAAATATAGTTGATTTACAATGTGCTAGCTTCAGGTGCACAGCACAGTGATTCAGTTATATATTTATCTTCTCTTTTACAGATTCTTTTCTCTTATAGGTTATTATAAAATATTGAGTATAGTTCCTTGTGCTATACAGTAGGTCCTTGTTGGTTATCTATTTTATATATAGTAGTGTGTATATGTTAATCCCCAATTCATAATTTATCCCCCTCCTCTTGCCACTTTGGTAACCATAAATTTGAAAACAATTTATTTTAAAAGTAATGGCTAGTGGGCTTCCCTGGTGGCGCAGTGGTTGAGAGTCCGCCTGCCGATGCAGGGGACACGGGTTCGTGCCCCGGTCCGGGAAGATCCCACATGCCACGGAGTGGCTCCGCCCGTGAGCCATGGATGCTGAGCCTGCGCGTCCGGAGCCTGTGCTCCGCAACGGGAGAGGCCACAACAGTGAGAGGCCCGCGTACTGCAAAAAAAAAAGAAAAAAAAAGTAATGGCTAGCATTTGTTGAACATTCACAGTGTATCAGGCACTGTGATCCGTGCTTTTCACATGAGCGGATTCAGTGCCCCAGGAAACTTCTCTGACATGCACGTCTACCAAATTAGGATTGTGGACCCCTACTCTGGCCCCTGTAACAGCTGGAACCCCTCCCCACTAGACCACCTATAGTGACTGCTGTTTTTTGTCTACAACACCATCTGCCATCCATGGACAGTAAGCTTGTTGAGGGCAAGGTCTGTGTCCCATTCTCCACTGTATCCACAGCTCTGGACATGCTCCCGGTAAATCATCACTGTTCAGTCCATGCTGGTGGATGAAGCACTGAGGCCTGCTCACCATGGTGACTATAGCCCAAAATGGAGAACCAGATTTGGGATGGATGTCTGATACATGACTTCTTTTCTAGGTGGCCCAGGCTCTGGCAAAGGCACACAGTGTGAAAAGCTGGTGGAAAAATATGGATTTACACATCTCTCAACTGGCAAGCTCCTGCGGAATGAGCTGTCATCAGAATCTGAAAGAAGCAAATTGATCAGAAACATCATGGAACGTGGAGAGCTGGTGCCCTCAGTAAGCAACAGCTGCCTTCTCTGGCTGGGGAGAGATTTGGGAGTGTTGCAATTAATCTAAGCTTCTGGAACAAAGAAACCCAAAAAGGACAATAGCTGTATTTCATTTCTTTCTTATGTAACAGTCCAGAGGCAGGCAGGAGGTCCGCAGCAGAGACCTATCTGCCAGACCAAGTTGTCCAGGCCCAGGTTCCTTCTGTCTTGTTGCTCTGCCAGCCCCTTGAATGTTACCTTGTTTCATATTTTCTTCTAATATTGGTCCCTGCTTTAGAGTTAAAATCTTCAAAGCAGAAGTGAACTTGGTGCAGCAGAACCTAGAATTAGAACCCACTGGAAAATAAAAAACAACATTTTGATCTAGTTCTGAGAGGTATAATAACATTAACTTGAAATTTGGTATCTTCCCTGTGTGGCTGAAGTAAAGAATATCCCTTTTGGGCTTCCCTGGGCACAGTGGTTGAGAGTCCGCCTGCCGATGCGGGGGACACGGGTTCGTGCCCCGGTCCGGGAAGATCCCACCTGCCGCGGAGCGGCTGGGCCCGTGAGCCATGGCCGCTGGGCCTGCGCGTCAGGAGCCTGTGCTCTGCAATGGGAGATGCCACAACAGTGAGAGGCCCGCGTACCGCAAAAAAAAAAAAAAGAATATCCCTTTTATTTACCTTTTTTTGTTTGTTTTCAAGTCACTGTCCATCTCTGAGAAGCTAGATGCCACTGGTATCAAAAAACATTCATCCCTTCCAGACTAGGTCCCACACTAGGCTCTGTAGTCAGGGCTCCTACAATGTAGCCCCTATTAGCTAACAGAGATTTATGCTTCCTCTTTAACAAGCTACAGTCTGTTTCCCACCTGGAAGCCAGAATGGTCCTCATGAAAGGAAACAGACCATTGCAGTTAACTCTCAGTGGGCCTCCTTCTGCCCACTCTTTTCTCCATACAGTTTACTCTTTTCACAGCAGCCAGAGTGATTTCTTGAAAACGTTTATCCCCTTCCCCAGAAGCTTCCAACAGCTCCTCACCACACTTAGAATGAAATCCAGACTCCTTCCCGTGGCTCTGGACTCCAGCTTACTCTCTGACGCTGTTTCCCCACCACCCTCACATTTACTCTCAGCCAACCAGTCACTTCCTCATTGTTCCTCCCACAGGCCAGGCTGTTCCTGCCTCAGGGCCTTTGCACTTGCTCTTTCCTTAGCCAGAGCCCTCTTCCTTCATATATGCATATAGTTTGCTCCTTTACTTCATCCAGATCTCTACTTAAATATCACAATTTATCAGAGACCCTTGCTGAGCACCCCATCTAAAATAGCACCTGTAACATTCTGCTTCTTCTGTCCTGCTTTAAATTTGCTCCTAGTAGTTCTCTCTAGCTGATTATTTCTATATATTTACTTGTTCGTCTATTATCTGTCTTTTTCACTAGAATGTAAGCTTCATGCAGATTTAATTCATTATTATCTAAGGATAGTTTCTGACTGCCCTTACGATGGCTGCATTCCCCAAGTCCCTGCCAAAAGTCAGAGGATGCCTGGGACCCAGAGAACACAAGGAATTCCCCCCAGTTTGGGCAGCTGGTGGCATTTTCCTACATCCGTTCCCAAGCTTCCATGTATCCCTCCTTCCTTATTTTCCATAAGCGCAAGTTAAATCAAAATTTTTAACAAAGTGATATTGCTAGAAAATGTTACTTCATATCTATTGAAAGTCTCCTCAAGTCAGTGCGTGTCAAATTTTATAAAATATTTACTGGAACAAATCAACAGTGAAGCACATTTTATACCGTGTTTTGTCTAGTTTTAAACTGGCATTAGGCCTAATTCAAGGAGTGCTACTGTATGAAATATAGCACTATATTTCACCTAATCTAAGATGTCATTATTTTTAGACACCTCAGTAAAATATAACCCCTAAAAATATACCGGTAAGAAAAAAAACACTATTAAACTATGACCCAGCACTGACTGTAAGGTACCTACCAATTCCATAAACATTAAAATGGAGGGGGGAGTGAGATTTGGAGTTGATGAAATACAGTATATTGCTGCCTGCTGTTAATCTTTTTTTAACTAATTTTTATTGGAGTATAGTTGCTTTACACTGCTGTGTTAGTTTCTGCTGTACAGCAAAGTGAATCAGTTATACATATACATATATCCCCTCTTTTTTAGGTTTCCTTCCCACTTAGGTCACCACAGAGCATTGAGTATAGTTCCCTGTGCTATACAGTGGGTTCTCACTAGTTATCTATTTTATACATATTAGTGTATATATGTCAATCCCAGTCTCCCAATTCATCCCACTCCTGTCCCCTTCCCTCCTTGGTATCCATAAGTTTGTTCTCAACATCTTACTGTTATCTCTCTCCCTCCCGTGATGGGATGGCTCAGGAAAACTGTGCTGACTCCAGTGTTATTCTGTGGAAGAGCTCGGGTCCTGACTGCTCTCCCTCTGCTCCAGGGCATCATTCTGGAGCTCCTGAAGGAGGCCATGGTGGCCAACCTCAGAAACACCAAGGGTTTCCTGATTGATGGCTATCCTCAGGAAGTGAAGCAAGGGGAAGAGTTCGGACGTAGGGTGAGTGTTGTTATGGGGATCATACCAGAAGGAAAGTAGGGGACATCATCGAGGATGGGGGATAAATTCGAAGTCTATGCATTCCTAAGTTACATTAAATAAAACTTTCTATTACAAATGGCAGAAACTCAGCATGCATGCCAAAAAAAGGGTGGAGGGTGGGAACGCTGGTGGTGGATTTATGGGTTCAAGTAACTAAAACTTCCAAGAGCAGTTCACACTTGGTTGGATCCATGTATTCAAATTTGTTCATCAGTAATCTGACGTTCTCCATCTCTTGGATATTCTTTCTTTGCGTTGGCCTCATTTTCTTCCTGTTGCAGGCTTATATTCTACCATCTAAGTGATCTCACAGAAAAGTGTTTCTATTCTCCAACAAACAACCCAGGATTTTGTTTCATTATCCTGGATTATCAGGTCCTGGGCTCATCACTGAACCAATCACTGTGGATATCCAGGAATATCTTGGTCCAGCCTGGAGGACCAGGTCAAGGATGGGAAGAAAGGAGGGAGAATGGGCACCACACCTGAACCATGAAAAGAAAGGGAAGGAAATTACCCAAAGAAAAATAGGATGCCCTTAGAGGAAGGCAAGGAGAAAGGTTGCAGGACAGGCAGAATCAGATATATGTACCCCTATGACCATCCCAGAATCAGATATATGTCCCACCCTCTTCACTAGGAGGCCCCTCACAGGGGAACAGCAGGAAGTAAAAAATATTGTTCCTATCATTTATTGAGCCTACTCTGGGCTAAGTCCTGGGCTACACACTTTACACACATTATCTCTAATTTTACAAAGTCCAAGCAAGAGGGAAACAATTGTCCCCATTTATTAAACAAAGATTCCAGAGCCTACAAGAATAAATATTTATATAGAGATCTCTTTAGACTAGTTTTAAAAACATTTTTATATATGTTATTTCATTTGATATATTTTTAATAACCTTTTATATAGAGAGAGGAGGTATTTTCTTCATGGTAAAGGTGATGAGTTAAGCCCAGAGAGGTTACATGACTTGCCCACAGCCCCATAGCTAGTAAGTGCCAACTCACTGGTAAGTGACAACTACTGGTAGGACTAAGATTTGGGGGGCCTATCTCCATCCATCCCTAACACTGCAACATTGATTAGGGGTAATGGTACTTGTGTGTCCCCTGGGAGTTAGTTTGACCTCATTCTGAGTCTCTGTTTTAATTAATTTCCTTAGATGGTATCTAAATACTTAAAGGACAGTTGCTCACCTTCCCTTGCATTTCCTATTTGTGACCAGAGTCAGAGAAGAAATTCCCTGGCCCAGTTCCCAAGGGTGGGCCCTAACCCCCGGGACTGACTTTCTGAATCTCAACTCAGGAGCCTTTATCAAGATGGGGGTGGGCAGGGAGAAATGGATTTGTGTGGCAGCACCTGGGACTGTGGCAGTTCCAGGTGGTTCCTGATGGGCACTCATGTACCAGAAATCTAAACAGCCTTCTCCCACCAAACAAACCACTTTAGGAGCTCAGACTTTTACATAATCAACCACTTTTTTACAAAATGGAATTGGGAGGATTGTTGTCGTTTTTAAAAAAACGATGGCAATATTTTACCATGTTCTGTATATTTACAGAACATAAAATTTACCATCTTAACCGATTTTAAGTGTACACTTAAGTCATGTTAAGTGTATTCGCATTGTTGTGCAACCAATCTCCAGAACTCTTTTCAACTTGCAAAACTGAAACTCTACACTTATTAAACTCCCCATTTCCCTGTCCCCCACCCCCTGACAACCACTGTTCCACTTTCTGTCTTTATGAACTGACTACTCTACGTACCTCACATAAGTGGAATCAGACAGATTTGTCCTTTTGTCACTGGCTTATTTCATTTAGCATAACATCCTCAAGGTTCATTCACATTGTAGCATGTGTTAAAATTTCCTTCCTTGTTAAAGATGAATAATATTTTGTTTATCCATTCATTCATTGATGGCTACTTGGGTTACTTCAACTTTTTGCCTATTGTAAATAATGCTGCTATGAATGTACGTGTACAGATTGCTCTTCAAGACCCTGCTTTCAACTCTTTTGGGTACATACACAGAAGTGAAATTGCTAGATCATATGGTAATTGTATTTTTAATTTTTTGAGGAATCAATACATATGCATACATACTGCCAGCCATAGTGGTCACACCATTTTACATTCCCACCAGCAGTGCATAATGGTTTCAGTTTCTCTACATCCTCGCCAACACATATTGTCTGTTTTTTTGATAGTAACCATCCTAATGGGTGTGAAGTGGTATCTCATTGTGATTTGGGTTTGCATTTCCCTAATGATTAATGATGTTGAGCATCTTTTCATGTGCTTGTTGGCCATTTGTATGTCTTCTTTGGAGAAATGTCTGTTCAAGTCTTTTGCCCACTTTTTAACCAGGTTGTTTGGTTTTTGTTGTTGAATTGTAAGAGTCTGGGGTATGTTCTGGATTTTAACCCCCTATCAGATATATGATTTGCTAATAGGTTGCCTTTTTACTCTGTTGATTGTGTCCTTTGATGCACAGAAGTTTTTAATTTTGATATAATCCAATTTATCTATTTTTGCTTTTGTTTCCTGTGCTTTTGGTATCATGTCCAAGAAATTATTATCAAATCCAGTGTCATGAAGCTTTTCCCCTGTTTTCTCTTAAGAATTTTGCAGTTTTCACTCTTACATTTAGGTCTTTAATCCATTTTGACCTAATTTTTGTATGCAGTGTAATGTAAGGGTCCAACTCTATTCTTTGCATGGAGATCACCAGTTGTCCCGACACCACTGATTGAAAAGATTGTTTTTTCCCCATTGAGTGGTCTTGGACCCTTGTCAAAAATCATTTGACCGTGTATCCGAGAGTTCATTTTGGGGTTCTATATTATATTCCATTGGTCTAAGTTACTGACTTTATGCCAGTACAACACTGTTTTGATTACTGTAGCTTTATGATAGTTTTTAAATCAGGAAGTAAGAGCCCTCCAACTTTGTTCTTTTTCAAGGTTGCTCTGGCTATTCAGGGTCCCTTGAGATTCCACATGAATTTTAGGGTGGATATTTCTATTTCTGCAACAACAACAAAAAAATGTCATTGGAACTTTGATAGGGATTGCATTAAATCTGTAGATCACTTTTGTAGTATTGACATCTTAACAATATTAAGTATTCCGTGGTTTGTCTTACATTTTTGTTTATTCTGATCTTCTAGCCAGTGTCCAGGCTGTAAATAAGGCTCCTGGGGTTACTCTTGAACTGAGGAACAAGGGCGTCTTTCCTGCACCATCTCTGAATTAGGGCCTCTGCAAGGCCAAGGGTGAGGGGAGATCCAGAGAAGAGGAAGGGGTGGTCGGGGGCCCTTGAGGGGCTCCCTGCTTATTGGAAATTGGCAGTTGTGTAAATACGCCATTAAAACACAAGAGGGCAAAACCTTAAAAGAAAGAAAAAAACACACACACACAAGGGAGATGAGCGCTAACTGCTGCCAGTCAGCAATGTTGATTGAGGTTCAGGCTTCAAGGTGGCAGCACCCCACCAGATTATCTCACACTTGACCTTGCCCATGAACGTAAGGTCCGAGAGTACTGGCAGGGTCTCTGGGACAGTCAGGAAAGGTCACGAACTTGCTTGGATGTGCTGGGGAATACATCCTTTTCAATGTCTTTTTTTAAAATTGCTCTCAGTGGTAGTAGAATATTCTTTGAAACCCCCAAATGGCCAAGTGTGATAAATAAGGTGTAGGGTAAAGATAAGCATCTTTTTTGTCAACTACTGTGTGCAAACAACAACAAAATTATGATCTTTTTTATCCTTTGGGAACTTTTTAAACTGGGTCTGAAGGCAAATATCTGAACTTAGGCCTATGGGGTCCGAACTGTTTGGAGCAGTGACAGCATTGTTGCACTCATGTAGAGCCTCCCAAGGTGACATCTTTAAAGCACATCACTTGTGCTGTCTGGAGTCAAAAAAGCTGGATGTTCACCTTGGTCATAGATTAGTGTGACCCTGGGCATGTCACTCAACTTCAGATTCCTCTGTAAAATAGAGAGAATAATGTAGCTGCCAAATCCTATTTAGAGGGTTTTGTGAGCATCAAATGATGTAACACACATAAATGTGTTTCCTAAGCTATAAAAGGTTATAAAATATTATCTACTTTAGGGTCACCTATTTTTCAATCACATTTCATTCAAGCCCATAAATTCCTGCTCCGTCATGCCTTTCTCCTTTGCTTATAACCTAGGATGGGTGAGTTCAGGACTTTAGATGGCCAACCAGTCTATCCCTGGCCTTTGGGTAAATATGAATTCAAATCATCCATACGATCTTCCTAAAGTAAAGCAAAACTTCCTTCCCCACTGTGGGTCCCATTCAGACAGGTTTTAGAAAGTGTCAGATAAGAGGCTTAACTAGAACTTAGGAGTGAGAAAGAGTCATCAACGTGATGACTGGATAGTTTCAACCAATGCTAAAATTCATGATGCACTTCCAAAAATATACAAGTGCCCCTTTCATTTATGAACCGGCGACCTTCAAGTGAGATGTCTCCGAAGACAGTCTTTTGCATTCTGCTGGAAGGAGTTTGCAAAGATCAAGCGTGATCTTGATTTGTCCCTGGGTACAGCAATTTAGAAGATTCTAATATCAATTTGGCTTGTGTGCAAGAGAACACATCCAGCCCTCCAAAACAAGCACTGCTTTAAACCTGACCAGAACAACAAAGATGCTACAAACACGGAATGAGCCGCTGTTGATTCATTTATGCCCTGAAAGGACTCAATCATTTGTACAGCCCTGTCCAAATTACAGGCAAGCATTTCATTTGAAATTTGGCAAAGACAAATACAGATGTATGATTTTCCCCAGAGATTCAGAGTAATAAGCCTGGCTGAGAGCACAATGAGTGTTTTTTGTGTACCTGTCAGGCCTGCGACTCTGTTTGAAGCCCATTCAGGCCTATGGATGGTTTTCCAGCCCATAGACGCCT